GTCTCATTTCTTGCTGGGTATAGCTAAAGTAGGCCAAGCAGGACAAAACATATGCACGGAGGTGGTCTTTCATGTCTTTGGGCAACTGATTTTTGGACACACATCAAAGGTGGTGCAGGTCTAAATCAAACAGCGTCAATCAGTTACCGGCCTCATGAATTAGCATAATTAGTAACACAAAAGTACATGTATATAGAGTTAAAAAACACAATGCAACTTGTAGTTGGTGTCAGAACTACAGGAAGTGCACCTGAGGTCCTTTTTCTTTTTATTACATTTATGTAACGTGTAACATGTACGGCTTCACACACCACTTTTGGACATGTGTCAAAATGAATGAAAAATAAATGCCATTCCATTTAACACCGTAAACGTTTTGCCCCTTTGTAACATTGATTGTAGTAATGTATTACTGATTTCTCCAATGTGAAGCTATGGTTCCTGCACCTGTAAATGTATATTGCCCTCACATTGTGCCTGGCATGTCCATTGCACATCCATCAAAAGTCATCCAGTCTTAACCCTGCTATGCTGAAGTCACTCTTTGGGTCACTTGGTAAACACCTCAAAGAAGCACAGTTGTGCACCAACATGCAAGAGAGTGACCTTGGGCACTTGTGCACATTTGTGCTGTAAAACCAAAGGAGGGTTTTAAGCCAGGCAAGAAACAATTCAATTTACACGAACAGTATGCACTCTGGCAAATGCACTAACCCCTTGGCATTGCTCATCCTGTTATTAATGACTGGTCTACACCTACATGTATCCCTAAACAGTCCCAAATCTCTCCTCCACCCCATATAAGGGACTAGTGACTTGTGATGCAAACTATGTACACATGTATGTACATGTACACACATACACTACATGTATTAACATGTTCTACAGGCGAAAATGGAAGCCTCCTTCCCTAAGAAAATCACTACCACTGGATTCCAATTTATTCTCTGATTAGCATACCGTTACCAGAGCCAAAACACTTAATTATCTTCCATGGGAGGTGTGATGTTAAGACATGCAGTGGGGGACTAAAGGTCACAGGTCAAAGTTGCCTCTTACCCAAGGTGTGCTGGCCATAAACATGGATGCAATTGCTGAATTCTGTGCCTACAGAGATAATATTCATAACAAAAGATGTACACATATATACATGTACACGTACATACCACTACAAGCACATACAGTACAACTCTCATCTGTTTATCTTACTGATATGCAGGGCCATTCTAATCAATTTATGGAAAATAACCCACTGTTAATAAAAAAAAAGACAAAAAGAGCCACACGACTAGAAAAGGACAAGTCAGAAGGTACCGGGAACTGTGAGTGCTTGTAATTTCATTAATCTTGCAGTAGCTGATCATGGTCATGGTGGATGTCCTTTGATTCCGAGTTCTCAGTGGGTCAACAGCTACTTAAATGTGTCAGTTGAAGACTACATACATGTACACATCATACAAGTACACAGAACAGCGAAAGAGTAAGAACTCATACATGTAGTGAAGTAACAGTCGATGCAGGTTTGTTGAAACTGTGACATTTGGTTTCAGGAAAGCAAATTAAGGTACCAGTATTTTAAGTGGGTACCGCACCAGTTGGGCACCTATTCCAAAATGGGGACAAAAAAGAATGGCACAGGCCCTGTCGATCTCATAACCTTTAAAACGGTAGTAAAGTTGAAGGAAGTGACACAGTCTCGACAACGCATGTGCACAGCAAGTAACAGTTTCATTGCTGGAAAACAACGCATCAAGAAGAAATGAACATGATATGGCAAAAGCCCTTGACGAGGTACACTGATCACAACCTGAACCACCTTACTGATGCTCTACCACTTGCGTTACCAGTAGCTAATCAACCCTACAGACAGAAACATTATGTATGGCCATCACACTGTATGGGAAATGATGAAATTGGACAGTTTTTGCTGCCACTATACGGAGAGCCAATCAAGTGGCTGTGTCCATTGAACACCTCTAAAGATTCCAATCTCCCTCTCTTCAGTTTCTGTGGTACGTGTAAGTATTTTGAGTAATGAAGGAACAGCTTTTCGGAGGGTATGGGATGGGGGAAAAACCTCATTTTAGTTCACAATATATTGAGTGAGTTTCATTTATGGAAGAATTTGGCAAATTTATTTTTCTGCAGAGACAGTGATAAATCAACAACAAAAGCAAAGAAATGCATCCATGTTGGGAATGCATCTTTTTGTCACATGCCCTTTCAATAGCATCGATATCATCATTTAAAAATATCAGGGGTGTGACTGGACACGTAAAGCTGAAAACAGCTAGCAAAAAGCTGAAATGTAAATAACATACTGTTGTACAGACCAGGTGTACAAAAAAGGGTCAACATCTACACAAAAAAAGCTAAAATCAGCTAAAAAGCTGAATTCTCACACCCCTGAAATATGAAGAACTGAGTAAAATTTTTTAACTTACTCCTGTATTGCCATTGACTACGTATCCATTTGATGGACCCCTGTTGCTCCCTGTCACAGCAAACATCTCGGTGAAATTGGGCACCTGTCCCTCATTCTGTAGGATGGTATTGCCGTAACCATGGTGCTCAAAGGCATCTACATTGTTGCCGGCACTGCCGTACGGGTCATTGACCACGCCTATTTGAGATGTCCGAACGTGATATGGGAAGTTCTTGTTGGCTGCTGAGGGCCTCGTTATGATCTGTGAAAAATGCAATGTTGGCAAGTCGTCACTCCAGCACAAGCGAAGAAAAACACAGTGATCATATCTGTTTACATGTAACAGTAGACGTACAGTACATGTATCTAGGACTGCAAGCGCATGTATTATCAAGTTTATTCTTGATAAATCAACCCAACGTTTTCCCTTCTGATTCACATGCACAGCAAGCCGCCTTACGGCTTTTTTTTTTACCATTTCAGGCTTTTTTTAAGCCAATATTGCCACCTCAAAGGCAAAAAACTAAATAATGACGATAAAACACACCGAAATCATTTCACCATGAGCTAATCACTGGAAGGGGAAATGTGCACAGAATTGAAGCTATTATGTGGAGCATGCGCAGATGGATATTCTGTATCAAGTTTCCACCTGAGGGGCAATTACTCAAACGTTTAAATCCCCTGGCATGCTGCACTGCCACAATGGTTTCCAACTCTGAAGCTGTAACGTTACAAGGTCAACGGAAAGGCCAGGCACTGGTACCAATCTGAAGTACGATACCGCCCCACGATGACAACCCAGTACATCACGTGTACATGTACATGTACGTCCAAAGACAATGCAAGAAATGTCACATTTTGAAAGAGCCAAACTCCTTGAAGAAGATTCCTGCGGGCACAGTCATTAAACATGTGTCTGTGTTTAATTTCCCCGTCTATGTTACTGTACATGCACCGGTACTAGTAGATGTTTATAGCGATGCAGGTGAAGGGTGAATTTCTCTGCATGGCCTTGCCATTGTCTGAAGCAGTGCACTGTCAGAAGGTCAGTTTTTTCCCTATGCACACTGGTATTGCATGTTTCACACCTTTAACTTTTACATATATATACTTTTTTGTCCATATTTCGAGTGTACATAAATTTACAAAGATTTTCAATATTTCAAGCCTGTGTTTTTCGACTGGCATTGCATGTTTCACACCTTTACAATTTTATATTGATATAAATTTTTTTCCATATAAGAGTGTACATAAATTTACAAAGATTTCCAATATTTCAAGCCCATGTTTTCCAACGGTATTGCATGTTTCGGACCTTTTGCAATTTTTTGGCTGATGCCATTTATTTTATCAATGTAGAGTGTACATGTACATAGAGCACCTTTACAAAGATTTTCAATTTTTCCTGCCAAGATTTAAATAATGACTTCAATATTGGCCAATGTTCTAAGGTCCTTACAGAGGAGGTGAGATATGGTACATGTATGTTGGTTTAAACAAATTTGAGCTGTACAAAAATAATCTTTTTGCACCTTCAAGCTAAGCAGCATTTGAGAATCTGCTTAGGGCCACAATCAAATTTGCTTACCAGAAATACCAGCTGGGCTGTGAAAGCGATCAGCAGCTCTATCACGTTCATCACTTTCTCCCGCCACCACTTGGGAAACACATAGGTCGCTATCAGGATCATTATGGGAGTAGCCACAAACCTGGCCAAGCAAGCAGAATGCCCCTCAACAGACATGTACAAACTTGGTTGAAAGCAGTCTGTCTATCAAATCACTCAGTGGGTGCAAAACAACGGATTGCCATATGGAGGTCACATCAAGGCTCTCTAGGTACCACACTTTTCTCAAGATACTGGTAGGGCAAACTCCATGATCATGGGTGAGTCGCAACACAGTGCAATACCAAGACATTGCCCCACAGTGGCCATTTTTCAAGTTTACGGTTGACAAAAACATTGTAGACATACATGTAAATGTACAGCAATTTGCGTTAAATTCAAGCATGTGTCAGTAGACAACTTGAGGAAATAAATATCTGATGGATGGGGACATTTCTGTGCAATGGAAAGAAGTCAGGATTAATTAAAACTGATACTCACAGATATTCTACTCGAACAAATATCCGGAAGAATTCAAGCTTTCAGTGCAAAGTGAAGCTGGTGAATAGAATCTTTTGATCATTTTCAGGAATGGAGTGCAAAAGATGGCCTCTCTGTAACCTCTTGGTGGCGCACTGTATTGCAAAGTGCCCATACTGTCCCAATCTTATTCCTTCCGTGAAATATTGGTATTTGTGCAAAACCCACAGTACTCTTTAATGAGTACACTTTAAAAATCACTTAAAAGTTCCTTTTCAAATTCTGATTTCATGACAAATAAAAGCTTTTCAAACTAGACAATTTGAACAATGCAAACACACTTTAAAATAGAAAGATGAATCAAAAGGTTTAGCCTGCACTCGGTGCTGAAACATTACTGTTTAATTTAACAGTGCGTCTTGGGTAAAACTGTAATATTCAAATACGACCTGCTCTTTGAAAAGGAGTTATTAGGTCAATTTTTCTTCCCAAGTCATTTTGTTTTGGTTCGAAACAGAAAGAGGAAGCTCAGCTCTTTCTTTTGATGCATCGCTCATTTTGACTCAAACAATGGACACTGTGCAATGGAAAATGTTCCTGGTTCCCCATGTCATGTCAAAAAAAATATTTGGATTTATTTTTGTCATGATAATGGTCCACGTTTTTGTGTCAGTGCTGCCCAAGCAGGCGCAAACTCCAATTCTGTCTTGAGTAAAAACTGAATTTAAATTTCAGAAACATCGGAGTGGATAAAACTATGAGAAATGCACACAACGGACAAGACTGAGTTTTTAGCTCCAAACAGGTCTTTTCGCAACGGTTTCTTACCAAGCTGTGTAAAACAAGAAGAAAGGCACGTAGAACAGGTTCTTTTCTGGGTAGTGCTTGAGTGTAAAGAAGATGGCGTACATGAACCACAGCCAGCAGATACCACGGATACCAATCAGTGCAAAACCAGCGGGACTCTCGTAGAGGTACAAGACTTCGCCGGGGTCAAATATCTGGGATGGTTTACATGCAGATGTAGACATCAGAATAGGAACTACAATAAGCTTTCCATGTTTGTTTAATTACAGATTGTTATGGTTCTGCATTGTCAATTGATACTCTTTTTTTTTGATTTGTTAATTTATTGCTGTTTATCGAACTGCATTTAGCGCAAATTACAGGATGAAGTGATAATTAAGACCACATGAGGAAATCTGGGAGGAAAACCTAGAATGAATATTCGAGGGAAAACCCACAAAGTCAGGTAGGAACTGAAACCCAATCCACTTGCTGACCTAGGTGGGATTCGAACCTGGGCCGCACAGGTGGAAGGTGAGGAGAGAGCCACTACACCAGCCTGACTCCCCGCACCAACTTGGCTCCCCTGATTTACCCCATTTTTATGCTGTTTGGAATACTACTTCAGCTCGCTTCCCTGAAATAATCCTTAAAGAAGTAAAAGGTTCTCATGTGTTACCTTCTTATCTCAAGTACATTTGACATCACTTGAAAGAGGCACAAGATTCATAGTAAGCATTGGCTAGTTTGCCTCATAGCAGTTGAATGTTGGAAAAGCTGTAGACACTTCCCGCACTCAAGCCAGCGTGTTAAACCATTACAAATGGATGCTAAATGCAGGCACACTTTACTTCAGAGGTAGAAAAGCCTTGCCATCATTCCCATTCATACATCCAACTGATTCTGACCGAGAGTTCGCTGGCTTAACCAGAGGCAAATTAAACCAACAAAATTCCACTTGTATGATGTTACAAATTGATTCTGACCGAGAGTTCACTGGCTTAACCAGAGGCAAATTAAACCAACAAAATTCCACTTGTATGATGTTACAATTTGATGACGATCTCTTACCACCACTTGGTAGACAAATAGGGCAGCATAGAGCATAGTGTAGATGCACATCAACACTGCGATCTTGACACTTCCAGAATGACTAATGCGCCCTCTATTAACAGAAAAAAGCCAGGCAAGAAATTAGGGCTGAGTCAATTTAAATAATTCATTATTCGAATGTTTGACCTTCAATTCAATAGAATATATGAAAATTTGGTCATAACATTCAGCAGATAACTGATGAACGAACCACACAAAATCAGTTACAATGACGCACACAATTGTACATTACAATCACTATATAATAGCTTCTCACGTCTGGGAGCGTCTTCAGCCATGATTTAGCAAGATTTAGAGACAAACAATGCCTCTTGTCCTGTTGAAAATGTCTATTCCTTTCAAATTTTTTAATGAATAATTTACTTTTAAAATTGTTGTAAGATTTCTGTCGCTTTTCATTTAAATCCGCCTGGAACAAGCCTCCATAGTGCAATGTTTCTCATTTAAAACAAAAAAAAATTCTCTCTTCTTTCTCATGATTTTTGCATTCGAATATTCAAATCTGGAAAACACCATACAAATATTCGACAATCGATCAAATATTCGGATATCCAGCACAGCCCTAAAAGAAATTTAAAAACTGCACACCTGATTAATGACATGCCTTTTCTTCTACACATTTTGTTGACACCAGCGTTACAAGCTCTCAAAGAAAATTTACATCACAATATTTGATCAACCAACAAGTACCAATACTTATTGTTACAAATATATACACTGAATTATATTCAAGCTCTGCATGTGGCGAGAAAGTAGGAGATATGAGGAGGCCAATGTTCGAGTGTTAATAACACTGATGGTATTTTATCGATCAGCCTCAGCAGTGCTTATTCCCTTTTAACAACCATCAACAGGTGCTTTCAGCGTAATGCAATAACCAAGGACCAAGGTGTTGAACACCTGAACGATTATTACCGCTGAGATCACATCCCTCCAAATCCATCAGCTTCCATTCTGAATACAAAACTGACGTTTCACAAGATGTGGTGCTTGGACTAATGTCCCTCCGGTGCGGTATTTCACCCCTACCTGGTAATGGTGTAGCCCTTTCCCATGAGGATCAGCATGAGCAGGAACACGCCGTCTGCGATGGCCTGGAAAGCGAGTGCAGCCATTTTGACATTCTGCAGGGGGGTACCATCACTGGCGTAGTCCGCATAGAAGATGATGAACAGTGTCATGGAGATCACTACAAAGACGACGAAAGAAACGGGGGGGGGGTGGGTTTTGTCTGCTAACTACAGCACCAAACGCCACACTAACACAGCAGCATTCCACCCACTGATCCAGCCAACATGAAAGGGGTTCGTCCTAAAGACATCTGTAAACTATTATCTCTGACAGACTTACACTAATTCCTGGATTCGTCTCTTTCGTTCTCAGGAGCCTTTTTTTAATGAAATTATACATTGGCTGATAACCCTTTATGGACACGATGTCAGGTGAACCGTTCACTCTGAGCTTTCCTTGACTGATTGAGAAAACGTTCACCAGCTTACTGGGGAATTCGAGAAAAGTTTTTAAAGAAGCTACGTGTATAAAAAAGTTTTGAGAAATTTGATGACACACTTTACAGCAGTGAAAAGAACAAGCCAACAGTTGACAGAGTTTAATATCTGAGTTGAGTACGAAATCTGGGCCTAAAAATGTCATTGGTACACGTGTAAGGCGGATGTTGTACTTAAACAGTGATCTTATTGTCAGCATTTGGCTTAGTATTGTGGTGCTCTCTCATACCAGCACAACGCTGTAACAAAGTCTTCTTTTTTACAGTTTCATCTAAAAAGAAACATCTTAGAGAAGTTTCAGTAGAGAACAGTTCTTTAATATCCACAAGGTACAGCATACATTGTGTGCAGCACTGATGCTTAGAGATGACATTAGGCTTTGTTGAAAGCCCTTTGTCAGAGTCCAAAACGTATTCTTACTGTTAAAGAAAATGACTGCCATGAACATCTTGTACGTTGTGTGCAGCAACTGGCGACAGTGCAATCCATCTGGGATAGAAACGACAAGAAACAAAGTGAGAATCGTGGAATTCGGATAGACGCACGCATTATGGACACCTACCGGACTTACTGGGTAACCAAACATGAGCAACAAGTGCCAGTATGGTTTTGCCGACAAGAGAAAAGTTCGGGTGGAAAGAAACCGTGCGACTCACTGAGATACGTGAACACTGGTCACATTTATACTGTGTGTATGGCAGGCGTATAACATGTATGTTTGTGTAAAAAGAGAGAAACTGGCTGGGATGGGTGACCCTCCATAAAGGACAGTTTAAATAAACAAAATAAACACAGATACCATTACTGGGACAAACTGACAACTGTTCTTCATATAAATCAAACAATTATGATGGGTCTTTCCATGAGGTACGTGTAGGGGTACTTTTTTGAAAAACATTTTGAACATTGGATAAAACTTTTGCAGTGCCCTTGTTGCAGGTGCATCAGTTTGCAATTAGTTTTCAAAGCACACACAGTACCACACTGGATAACTTCAAAATCCTCTGAACCATTCCACATGTACATGTAACTGACCCAAACTAGCAGAGCATCACGGTTATTTGATGAAATGGTTAAAAGTAATGAATAATTTTGGTTTTTGCTGCATCTAATGGCTGTGTTCTTTATGACAGTCTACAAATGTTGCCATGTATCCATGATTTCTATAGGCAAAGAGGTATCAAATCCCTACATCGCACACACTAGTTGGGTATGTCGGCATTATGTAGAACTGTGACCTCTTATCTACATGTGAAGAACAATACGCAAAGCGTAACCCAACCTCACTGACTGGTCCTAAGGCAGGGTAAATTGTGTTGCACTTGCAATGAACAGTAAAACTTTGTGGAATTGACAACGAAAGGCCAGTCATCCAACCTTACATTCAACCAAATGCATCAATTACATGTACATGCACCTGTTATCAGGAGGCCTGTTTACTTACTTGCGATGTATAGCGATGCAAAAAACATCAGGCCGAACAAGATCAGGAACACAATGTCGGTTTGGAGAATTCCTTAAAAACACAAGAGAAAATAAAATGCTGCAGATATCCNAGATGACGTATACATTGCGTGCAGTACTGATGCTTAGAGATGACATTAGGCTTTGTTGAAAGCCCTTTGTCAGAGTCAAAAATGGATTCTTACTGTTAAAGAAAATGACTGCCATGAACATCTTGTACGTTGTGTGCAGCAACTGGCGACAGTGCAATCCATCTGGGATAGAAACGACAAGAAAGAAAGTGAGAATCGTGGAATTCGGATAGACGCACGCATTATGGACACCTACCGGACTTACTGGGTAACCAAATATGAGCAACAAGTGCCAGTATGGTTTTGCCGACAAGAGAAAAGTTCGGGTGGAAAGAAGCCGTGCGACTTACTGAGATACGAGAACACTGGTCACATTTATTCTGTGTGTATGGCAGGCGTATAACATGTATGTTTGTGTAAAAAGAGAGAAACTGGCTGGGATGGGTGACCCTCCATGAAGGACAGTTTAAATAAACAAAATAAACACAGATACCATTACTGGGACAAACTGAAAACTGTTCTTCATATAAATCAGCAATTATGATGGGTCTCTCCATGAGGTACATGTACCTCTAGGGGTACTTTTTAAAAAACATTTTGAACACTGGATAAAACTTTTGCAGTGCCCTTGTTGCAGGTGCATCAGTTTGTAATTAGTTTTCAAAGCACACACAGTATCACACTGGATAACTTCAAAATCCTCTGAACCATTCCACATGTACATGTAACTGACCCAAACTAGCAGAGTATCACGGTTATTTGATGAAATGGTTAAAAGTAATGAATAATTTTGGTTTTTGCTGCATCTAATGACTGTGTTCTTTATGACAGTCTACAAATGTTGCCATGTATCCATGATTTCTATAGGCAAAGAGGTATCAAATCCCTACATCGCACACACAAGTTGGGTATGTCAGCATTATGTAGAACTGTGACCTCTTATCTACATGTGAAGAACAATACGCAAAGCGTAACCCAACCTCATTGACTGGTCCTAACATGCCTAAGGCAGGGTAAATTGTGTTGCACTTGCAATGAACAGTAAAACTTTGTGGAATTGACGACAGAAGGCCAATCATCCAACCTTACATTCAACCAAATGCATCAATTACATGTACATTCACCTGTTATCAGGAGGCCTGTTTACTTACTTGCGATGTATAGCGATGCAAAAAACATCAGGCCAAACAAGATCAGGAACACAATGTCGGTTTGGAGAATTCCTTAAAAACACAAGAAAAAATAAAATGCTGCAGATATCANCAAAAAATATCAGAAAACAGTCCTTGTACATAATGTACCTGTACATGTATGCGTACAGCAATCCCCACGTGCATCGTGATGTTAGTGCAAAGGCATTTCTTGTTCAGTTTCAACCTGTTACGAATTGTGAATTACAATGTAACTTGTGACTGAGTAATCAAGCTCTGCTCCTCATATCTCATCAATAAATTCAATCTCAAATTGCTATGCTGAGAAATGAGCTTAGAAACATGTCCCACTCAGGAAATGAATGTTTAACCCTAACCCTGCCAGACGTAGCACAGTGCATCAGGTGAAAAGTCTAATGCACTTTGATGGGCTGGGCAATCAACAGCAGCCCAACAAACTGGCCATGTTGAGACAATGGGAGCTGCATGTACATGTAGTCCCATTGAACAATGCCGCTGTTGGATCTTGTGGTGACTGGCAACCACAGACTCCCAGGCCGGTTGGCCTTGGGAAAATTGACCTGCTGCATCTTGTTGATATTTTGGGCAGGAAATCCACTTTGACAAAAGGTGCAGTCTGATGTGTCTGGCAAGGTTTCCAGCCAAGTACCCTTGGAGGGTTTAAATGAGGAAAACCGTGGATTTGAGGAAAACTTTCAGACCTGAAGAGCAGCCTGCCCTATATTCACCAGACATTTGCTCAATCACAATGTATTTCAAAAGATACTTTCCAAACACTCATGAACCCGTGAGTGGATGTGGTGTTAAAGAGTGCAGAAGTCAACACACCACAAATATGCATTTTAGTTATTCTATTTCATTATTTTTTCTGTATGTAAAATGCATTAGTACGATAACCGGCACGTGAACCAACAAGCACATGTACTCCATTAGTTGAACTATACATATACTTCCAGGTTCATATAACTTCAAGATTCGGTACTCTCATCACCAAAGAAATGTTGTTTCTACCCACGTCAAAACACATTATGGCTTATTCCCGCTTGGAGCAGGAGCCTGCCAGCCTGTAGGCATGCTTACCAAATTGATCCGCAGAAAAATGCTTAGTCCAATAATCATCCCCATTTGTAAAGGTCATCTTGTACTTCAGGTACAGGCCCTGAACGTGGGAAGAGAAAATGAAGTCTTGAATAGGAGACATCGAAATGTTTGGTGGTGCCAGATGGTTGGTTGGAAAATCAGCTCACATTATTAAAATTCTTCATTAATACTTCGATAACAAAATACTGTTTTAAAGAACCGATTTTGAGAATCCCAATTTCTTGAATTCTTACGTTTTCTTCGTTTTTCCTTTCCACTTATAATAAAGCCATGTTGATAAGAGAGCAAAAGTCGTCTGGTTCATGCAATTTTGTTATAATGACAGTAAACAAAAAACATAGCAGCAAGTACATTGTATATGGGTAATTTTATAAATTCAGGGTTTAAAAGTGTGACATTTTTGTGTCCCTGTGTAATTTGACATGAAATATTACAGAAATTGATCTCAAACTATTTCTATTTGTTTGTCAGATAATTTGCATTAATTCATCACCCTTGGAAATTAGAGAGTGTGTTCTGAACTTACAAAATCATACGTCAGGTGTGACAGGGCCACAAAAAAAATATAAATGTGATGGCTACAAGACCTACATGTACACAACACACCAACAGTCATAGAGGTCATCATCGGTCAGGGAAAAAGACTTCCGGTCATCAGTCTCAGGGGAACAAAAGATTTGTGCATCTACATGAGCTGCATCTAGACTAGGGCTACCTCAGCCTAACGTACCCGAGTAGAATTGCAGTTGTCCAAGGCGACGTACCACCAACGCTCTCGTCTTGACGTGAAGCTCCGACCTGCCCGGCAGTCATACTTCTCTGTGTCCCCGTAAAACCGGAGCTGTTCATTGTCATCCAGTTTGGTCAAGATGCAGCCTGACCAGACGTACTGCGTAGTCAGGTTGATCACTTGATGATTCTCGGGCTTGAGAACGGACTCCTTCTCCAAGCACGTCTGAGCAAATTGTAAATTGAGTACCGGTACATCACAATTTCTTTGGTATTTCTATTCAAAGATGCAACACAACCTAAACCCAAAGCCGTGACTGCCATGACTGAACAGGTAAACACACGATAGCACAAACAGCCAACTCTTATTCAAACACAACACAGCGCACTATTAATTACAGATACCGGTTCATGTAAGAGCGAATGCTGAGAATCTCAATTTCTTGAATTCGTGTTTACTTTGTACATACATGTTGGACAGTCTCTGTCATAACAAAGTAATGCGTCGGGTCCCTTTAATGTTGTTACAACAAGCACTAACTGTACACACTTTAAACTTGTTTACCAAAATGTAGAATATACGGTACTTTGCAGCAGCAGAACATGACAGAGGTTGGAAAGACGTACATGTACATGTACAGTAGTGATCAGCATTTACTAGTCTGGCTCCACATTACTGCTCAAAGGTTAGCAGGTTAGAGTACACCTTTAAGTCCAGGAAAAGTTGTCATTTAACAACCTGCAAAAGTGTTTCCATAATAAGTATTTTTCCCCATGAAATTCCTAAAAGTGCAATTTTGTTTTATAAATTTCACAACCTTGGGTATACACGTACGAATGCAATTTGGATAAAAATACAGGAGTACGGGGTATACGTGTACATGTCAAATGTGAGATGAACTATGGAAAATGTCAGCAACGAAAGAGTTCAAAATTTGTATTGTAATGCAGTAAATGCAGGAAGATTTGAAAGCTCACATAAAGTACACTGTACAAGTACCTGTACATTTTTACACTGTACTTTGTACATGTAAAGTACTGCCAACAGTACACGAATTATAATCAATGGTAACCAATGGATACCAGTAATGTATGTAATTACTGTGGCATACCGGTACATGTACCCGGTACATGTAACTTTTATTCCAGAGGGAAACAATTAGGGCAGGGTCGTAAATTTTGCAACTCTCGCTACGAACAGGTCTACATAATTAACAAACAGTTACCGTATCTCTAGCAGCCTAAACATCCTTTCTCGCGCATCCATAAATCTTTGCCCGTAATTCAAGTAATTACCACTTGTTATTAATTTATCAATCCAATAAGCCACAGTCTTTGAAACCACACAGTCAAACAGTCACAGCACGGCACGCCAGGCCCTGACAGGCCTGCCTGACCTGTTTTGTGTATAAAATACATATACATACATGTACACACATGTACATGCACATACACACATTAGTACATAATTGTACAATGTACGTAGGCCTCCTGGTACATTTTCCAAAGTAATTGGTAGAACATACACTGTACATGCACGTGTACAAAAACCATTCAAGTGATCATGTTGGGGACAGGAATGCACAAAGTCTTTTTTGTGTACATGTATTTGCACCATACATGTAGCATCAGCCCATAGGCCCTAGGTGATGTAAAAGAAGCAGCGTTATGAAATTTTTATGACAACACTTCAGAAGAGCAGTTCATCACGTACATGTAGGCCTACCCATAATAAATCAGTTTTACACAATCATACATGTAGCTTCTTTTTCTAAACTACAGGTAAGTTATTGTTGTGTTAAAGAAATTATTCCTGAATGTAAATGAAGCATCCAAAAAATTAAACTTGGTGGGAGACAAGCCAAGTTTGGTGGGCTCCCATGCTACTTCTACTGTATACCGGTATATATCGGTACCGATGTACATGTACATGCATGTACATACAGTACATGTACTATACATGAATGTGAACTCAAGAACACCATACTACGGTACAGGTACATGGAACTTGTAATAAAACAAACTCACACAGGTGTGTATTTGCCTGCAACTGGGGACCCCCTATTGTTCCCCTTTTGTTTGTACTTTAACTTTTTTAGAAGACCACCCATATGTTTTGTACACAGTTGTCAATCGGGGACCCTGTGTCAATCGGGGACCTTATTGTCCGCTATTGTTCAGGGTCCCCAATTGAATGCAGAAACAAACTCACACACCCAATGCACGAATGCACAGGTGCATATGCACAGTGGGTACTTTTTATTTTGTTACATTTCTCCCTTTCCTCCTTAACATTTTTAGAAAGGACACGACCAATAAGAGAATATGCAAATTCCAATCCCATGACAACAGGAAGGGATGGGCCGGCAAGGAACTCACCTTCAATTCGACGGACTCAGTGGGATAAACTGATGGCCACTGGTCTGGTTCATCATAGTACAAAATGAGGTTCTGTGTAGCAAGGGACTGCATCACAGAGGGAGCAAAAGAAGATATACTGACATGACTGACTGCACAGAATGTATGCATGAAGTGTCCCACAAGCTGTTAAGATGCACTGTACACATGCGCATGTAGAGCCTCAATGATCAGTCATGAATATAAACACCAATACATACATGTAAAAAAATTAGTCCAACTCTGTACTCATGTATACATGTACACGTTCGTGTCTGTTGTATGCTTTATAGCAAGTCAAGATTTACGGAATTATTTTGACTAATTTACATGTACATTACTTTTTACCTACATGTACATTGTCAATGTATACAAAATTTGTAATTTTAAACTTCTGGTTTATCAATCTGATTGTGGCTTACCTTTGGGTATTCCACTTCAAATCGAAGTCTCCCGATATCAGACAGGAAACAAAACCGGGCCAGAAAGATCCAATTCTGTCAGCAAAAATAAAAGTCCAAAATGAAATGAATCCGAACCACTTCCAGATGGTGTGATTTGAGTTGAACATTTCCAAGGTACTTCGGAGAAAAGTTCCCTCTGGCTGAATCAAATGTCCTACGAGAGTTATCATAAGGCACTGGTACCTATGTGTATACATTGCAGCTCTAAAATTTTTACACAGTCATGACAGTAGTTTTTTGACCAGAGACCTAGTGTACTATATGTTGACAATGTCGATATCGTTCTAGTGGGCCAGCTGGAGGGTAGGTCCACTGATGGCCAATTGGCCTGGTGCACGCATAGTGTTCTGGTGTTACATGTATGTGTAAGGACAC